GGGGTGCGCCCGACGAGGCCTGGTGCGGGGAGGGACGCCGGCGGGAGTTGGAGCTTCGTGGGACAAGCTGGGGGCGGACCGCTTCGGTGAACCCGTCGGCGAGCGGGCACGATGCCGCGAAGTCTATCTCGGGTGTTTGAGGATGTGGGGGAGGACGAGAATCGGAAGGCGCAGAAGAAGTGATGCGTGTACAAGTACATCCGCGTGGGATAGAGTCTCGGCGAGAGATTCCGCGGCAATCGCATGTTGAAGTGCGTTTTCTGCGGCCACGAGTTCCAGGGCAACCAGTTCGTGGCGGCGCGCCATTTCCGCCAGGGCAAGGGATGTCCGGAAGTGACAGACGAGGCGCTTGTCGACATCCACTATAACAGTGAGTACAAGATGTCCGACAAGTTCCTAGAGCGGATACAGCAATTTGAGGAGCTTCACGGTGCGGCGCCTGCGATGGATCCGCGACGGGACAAGGGGGGGGAGGGAGAGATGAGGGACGCGGGGGAGCAGATCGACGTGGACGACGACGTCAAGGAGGTTGCACGGGTGGGGTCGTCATGGAGGGAGCGAGAGAAGGGCATTGTCAGCGAGCCGGGGGGGCAGCAGGGCCTGTACTTTGCATCGGCGCACGTGTCGGCTCGTACACGGGCAGGTGCAGATACGGCTGAGGAGGGTGCGTCTGCGGGGAAGAGGAAGTTGAGAGAGGAGGGGGACAGACTGACGGCAGCAGCCGCATCACAGAAGAGGATGAGACAGAACACGATCACGGAGTCATTCACTTCAAAGTGGCAGATGGAGTTCAAGAAGAAGTGGTTGCGGTTTGTGTACAGTCAGCGCTTGGCGTTGAACGTCTTCCGGAGCGAGCCATGGTTGGACGTCGTCCGGCACTTCAGGGACTTGCCGGGGCCAGTGAAGGTGTTGTGGCCTTCAGAGAATGAGATCGCAGACATAGAGACCATTGTCCACATGGCGGACGATGTGGGAGCTGATCTCGCGAGGGTCAGGGCTCCTTTCTATGTCACGGGGGCCACCATTATGTCAGACGGAAGGAAGTCACGTGATGCTAGACCCATCGTTAACTTCCTTGCCGGCGGGTCGCGTGGGGTGATGCTCGTCCGCACGATGAACAGGGAGGGTGAGCGGGATCGGGCGCCTGATGTGTTAGCGCGCTGGATCAAGGTGTTCGATGACTTCTCCGCTAAGTGGGTGAACGCCATCTGCACCGACTCCGCCTCGGCGTACGTCGCCGCGGAGAACATGCTCCAGGGGCCCCAATAGGGGTCGGAGCATCGATGGATAACGTGGCTCCCATGCGCAGTGCATGTCTGCAACAAGATGTTGTCAAACATTGGCTGTTCGGGCCCGTGGTCCAAGGACATCATTGTGAGGGGGAGAGCGGTGGTGCGCTTCATTAAGGAGCACTGCGCCGCTCTCCATATCTTCCGGGGGGAGAGCACTCAGATGGGCCTCATCTATCCTTGCGAGACACGTTTCACATCCGTGTTCGCGATGGTGGAGCGTTTGCTGTGAGGTCAGCTTTGAAGAGGACGGTGGATGGCGATACTTGGGGTATGGTCCCTTGGGACCATTCCGTTCGTCAGTTGGCTAGGTGGGTCGGGTGGCAAGTGCGACATGGCAGGTGGTGGGATTCCATGGGCATCTTGTTCCGTATCATGGAGCCTGTGTACGACCTGCTGCGCAGTTTGGACCGCGGAGGGCTGCACATGTCGCGGGTGGTTGAGTGGACACAAGATCTGGCCCGCCAGGTAGTAGAGGAGGTTTGTGCAGTTCTGACAGATCTCGCACACTACATTGTGCAGAGGGTGCAGGCTCGATGTGCTCACATGCTGGAGTCGGCGCACGCCGCTGCTCACCTTCTCTGTCCTAGCCGGCGGGACTTGCGGTACTTCGAGGGCGTGGTCAGCGACTACGATGCGAGCTTGGTGAGGGAGGCAGAGACTTACATCTTGTCGCAAATAGGGTTCAGTGTGGCGAGCGGCGACTACGAGACCACATGTGCACAGTTGCGCGACTTCCACACACGGAGGGGGACGATTGCTTGGAGGGGGGGAGATGGAGATAGAGATGCACAAAGGTGCAGGGGCGATGCGGAGACGTACGAGTCCGGGTGTTGGTGGTCGAGGTACGGGCAGTGCGCCCCGCAGTTGCAGGTTATCGCTCTTCGTGTGATGTACATGTGGACGTGCTTCTCTCCTGCGGAGAGGAATTGGGCCGTCCACGAGGGTGTACAAACGAAGAAGCGTAACGGGCTTGAGTTCGAGAAGGTCGCGAAGTTGGTTGAGATCTCAGCCAACGTCCGCCTTCTCTCTCATCAGCGGGCAGGCCGCGGGTTCGCGTTGCCGTGGACTCTAGATGAGTCGTTGTTGGACGTGGCGGGAGGTATCGGGATTCGCCCCTCGTGGAAGGGGACGGAGGAGAGCAGGACGCGGGAGGAGGTTGAGGATCAGAGACGTTCATGGCAGCGAGACCCATGTGGGTCCAGAGCTCCTGGTGATGTGGGCGATGTTTTTGGGACTCGAGCCACCACATTGCACCCGTACCCTCGAGACGACAGTGATTCCGAGGGTCACGAGGACGAGGACGAGCCAGTGGGCCCCGCTAGCGCCACTCCTGCGGCGGATAAGCGTGATGAGTGGAGCGACCTAGAGGACGTCTGTAGATGGAGTGGCGGAGATGACCTTTTCGTTCGAGTTGATTTGGAGGAGTCAGACGGTCGTCATGGGAGCCCTTTGGAGCGTCCGAGGCCTACGTCCAGTGCCCCGCTTCCCACTGAGCGGAAGACAGATCCTGGGTCTGCACCTTCGAGGGGGGCAGAGTCGGGGATTGGTCATCGTCCTCTGGGTCGCTCTGGCACGGCATCATCCTCCGCTCTTCCCACTTCGACGGAGCAGCTTCATCGACAACCAGCCGGTGCAGATCGATTGGAGAGATTGGTGAGGGGCCCAAGACAGCGATTGGAGGACAGATTGGAGGGCGGTCCTATGCCGGTGCAGGGTGACGACGGAGACAGACAGGGGTTGGTTGGTGGAGATGGTGGTGCGCTGGCCGGAGGTGGAGGCGGTGTCGAGGTTGATGCGGCGGTTGAGGGGATACCGATGGGCGGCGGTGGCGGTTTCAGTGAGTTTGGCGATATGGGTATGCCCCTGGGAGAGAGCGTGGGTCTGGCCCGAGGAGAGAGCGAGTCCTGTGGGGACATAAGTGTTGGTATGCAGGACTTACTGGGACACATCGGCTGTGCGGACCCCAGTAGTTTCTCCCCTGCCATGCGCGCAGAGGTGATGTTGGGGGCAGAGGGGGATGAGGACCGGACACCCCCTGGAGAGACATCTGCAGAGAGGCTGGATAGGCTTGATAGTCGTCGAGCGTGCCTCATGGCACAGAGTGACCCGAGGACGCAGGAGCTCGCCCATCTTGCGGCTGAGAACCGACAGAGGCAGTTGGGACATATACGCAGGCGTCTGTCGACGTGGGGCCAGCTGCCCACACGGATACTCTGGCAGAGGTTCACGACACGATGCAGCGGGAGGCGGCTTTGGCAGAGGTTTCGAGTACGGGAGTAGATGTTCAGCAGGGGACGCACGAGAGCGGGTTGGCACCGACAGAGGAGCCACGTTCGGAGCCGGCGCAGCCTCCTGCCGTGCAGCTGAGGCCAGAGGAGACATTGCAGGAGGTCGCGGGCGTGCCTCTGCCCGTGGGTTCAGTTGAGGGTGTCGTGCATATGTCCCCGGGTCTGGAGGACATACAGACAGGGCAGTCAGTGGGCGTTGATGATATTCGCCCATCAGCACAGGCAGAGGGGATAGCGCCGACCACCGGGGGGGACGGGGCCGTAGCGGGGGCCGTTGGTGTTGGCGGGTCGGGGTGCCGTCCGCGGCCGATCCGATGTCAACGTCCGGCGGGGGAGACCCCGCACAGGTGGACAGGCGTGACGCGGACGGACAGGAGATGCCACAGACTTTGGTGGTTCGCACTGCTGTGGGGCCAGTGGTGCCACATCAGGCACCATTTTTTTAGGGTTATAGGCGTCCTGCACATGGCGGTGGCCCGGTCGAGGAGCGACGTGTAGGCAGGGGCGCGTGCATACCCTCGGTCCCTACTTTTACGCCGTCACGGACGAGGCCGGAGATTAGGCTTGTGGCTACGCCTCGAGGCAGCCTCCCTTTTGGTTTTATGACCGCTGAGGAGTTGGAGGACCACGACAGGAGGGATTTGACGGAGATTGACCAGCGCATTTTGAGGTCAGTCCCGGAGGAGGGGAAGCTGCCTCACGTGCAGGACTTATCTTGGGGGCCAGCCAGCCCCAGCTTACCTTCTGGGTGTTCCATCGCAGCGCCATCTGCCGGGGCTGCAGGGGGCTTTCCTTCTAGAGGTTCCGTCGCAGCGGCATCGGGCGGGGCCGCAGGGGACTTACCTTTTGGAGGTTCGGTCGCAGCGCCATCTGGAGGCGCCGCAGGCCCTTCTTCACCCTTGAGCGCAGCTCCGAGGGAGGGCGGCAGCCTCACCCCGAGGTCGGTTGCCCGTAGACGGAGAGACACTCCTCAGCGTGCGCGGGAGTTGCTGGACACTATGTTGTTCGGTCGCACAGACCGACCATGGAGTGAGACGAGACGGGTGACGACAGCGAGTGTCGGCCGTCAGCCAGGTTTGAGAGGGGTTTCCACAAGAGCGAGACGTCGAGATGTTGTAGCTGCAGGGTTTGGCGGTAGAGGGGGTGGCGGTGGTGGCCGTGGTGGCGACGGTGACGGCAGACGTGAGGGCACAGGCGGTGCCACGACGAGCGCAGTGGGTCCGCCGCGGATGTACGGTTTGAGGGAGGCGTCAATTATTTTGGAGGAGCCTGATGTTGTTACACGACTGAGGCAGGCGCGACACGTGCCCTTAGATCAACGCCAGGAGGGGGAGACTTCAAGGACTGACGGTCTACCTATGGCACGCGACTCACACCGACGTGACGACCTAGCAGCAACAGCCATCAGGACGGTGAGAGGTAGGAGAGTCATTATGAACGACGATCCCGACGAGCTTCCCGTCGCTCCCAAGCCTTCCGCTGGCGGACGTGGCGGCCAGCGTCAGAGAGATCGAGGAGGTGGCAGGGGTCGGTCCCACGGAGGAGTTTCTCATCGGTCCGAGCGAGATCCGTGTGCGCACGACGATCATTGACGGATTACGGACTTGCATTTTCGTGACTTCCTCAGTGTACTTTAGTTTTTTGTTATCCATGACAGACGTAGTGTCTCGTGAGGTTGTATTATAGTCTACTTTCCACTGGGTACTTTTCTGTGCAGACGTAGTGTTTCGTGATGTTGTATTATAGTGTACTTTCCAGTAGGCACTTTTCTACAGTTTGCTACTTCGGAGATTGTAGCTTTCCAGTGTATTTTAGTATGCTTTTTTGTCGGCATTTTCGGCTTGGTACTTCTTTCCACAGACTGGCGGGGCTTCGACACGATGTGTCAGATTTTTGCTATTATCCATGCTATATTGGTTTGTGTTTTGCTTCGATCATTACATCTTGGCATTTGCGATGTTTCTGTTTTCAGACGACGATTGTTTTTTTTGCTTCCAGGCCCCTCATCACCGAAACCCTCCCGTA